CGATCAGAGAGGGTATTTCCATCTTGCATGACTGGACAAGGCGCCTCGAAATGAGGTAAAGAAAATTTCTTGTTGCTTGATCTTGTATGCCTTTGAGCTTATATGACTGACAGAATTATAAACTCTTATGATATTCTAAATAATTACATTGTGCTATGATTTATTAATCTTCGGATGCCGGAGTTGGGTCTTTACTGACCTAACATATGTATGATTTGAACCTGACAAATAGCAGTCACCGGTGGTCGGCACTGTGAATTCAATATGATCAAATAATTAAGATAAAATAAAATGTAAACAAATTTTAACTTACATTAGTATCAATATTCCTTACAATTTATGCGAAGTATCAAAGCGATAGCTTAAGAGTACTTAGATATTGTGAAGAAATACAGGGTGTCCCAGAACTGGGGTAGGAACGGAAGAGGGATGATTGGTGAGGTCATTCTAAACAACTTTTTCCTTTGCCAAAATGTTGGTTAAGGCTTCGTTTTCGAGTTATTATCGAAAAACACTAGCCAATCAGAGCGCGCCGTTAGCGCGGGCCGAACCACGCGAGTGTTGGGTATGTTCCGCGCGGTCGTTTTTCATTACTATGTATTATAAAATTTAGTACATAACTAAGAAGTACAAATAACACAGTAAATATTAATTCAAGTTTTCCGCATAAATGTGTGTACATACATACACACATGATGGAAGGTAACAAAGCTATACATGTACAGATATGTACTTACAAGTATGGTGCCCTTTGTGTTCCATTGTTATCTTCCTCGATGAAGTTTACGGAGAAAGGTAGGAACCCGGGACATGATCACTTTCCCTGTGGAAGTCTGATTTAACCGTGAACGTATTTGATCGATTAAAATATCACACCTTTCATATCTTGTGGGACATCCTGTGTTATAAATATATATAAAAATGCTGTTTTGATGCCATAGATACATTTACGTGTAAAATAAATATTTTTATATTACCGTTTAAATAATTGATAACACCTGGAAGTCGCTTCTTGTCGATAACAATTTTGCATTAATACAGAGTCAATATGCTGTTGAAAAGATAAAAACAAGATACCTGTATATATCGTTAATGCAAAAACGATCGATCAATCATTGTAAATTACAAATAGATAGAATTTGCACTTTGCTGCAAGTAATCAAGAACCGTTATGAAATTATAAACTCTAGATAACTATGAATGATGTATTGCTGCTTCATCGGTATGTAAGTGACACTGACGTATCCGCTATTAATTACCATTATTAATTGCTGTACTTACTTTACGTGACACGTGCAAATGATCGTGCATTATTCTCTGGCGAAATGTAAAATTAACATCAATTGTATTCTTGTTATGCTTATTGTTAACAAAAACATGATTTTATCGAAAAAAACTTGCTCGTATTTAATAAAAAATTAGACTAAATTTCAACATCAAATTAAAAGTACTTAACGAAAATAAATATTCTATTCAAGCATTGTATTTTAAAAAAATTTTTAAATATGAATTTTTTTTCGGTTAAAATAAAAGTAATTAAAAATTTTTAAGTTATATTCTACTAAACTTCAATGAAGTTCTAATTTAATAATTGGCAACTAAATCTTGTGAAATATACTGAATGTTACAAAGTAGAGAAACACTATTTGTACTACTCTCTATTATTAGTCGTACAGTGATCTATACGACAATCTATATTTAACATTTACATAAGAGAAAACGGAATATAGACTTATGAAATTAAGTGTTATATTTTTTTTTTAATATATAATATTATATCATTTTTATCGTTTGAAATCCATGAATAGATATCTCTCATTGTCAGTCAATAGTATAAAATTATTGTAATAATCAATAGTAATGTAGGAAATAAAAGACGTATTCCAGAATATATTCTGGATTCCACTGCTGATGGCAGGGGGTCGCAGGGGGTTCGCGACACGTCCGATCACGAAAAATCGACGATCAATTGACGACGACGACGCGACGCGACGTATTGGGAATAGACGTGCCCTTGCGATCTGTGACGAATCCGCGACGATAGACAATAGTTTTATTCATAGTTTACGTAGTTTTACAGTTTATAATTAGTTTAGGCACCTAGAGTTAATAAAACCTATAGTAATTAAAATCAATAGTAATAAAATCATTGTTATGAAAATCACTGATAACCGACACCACAAATCTAATATACTTATATAATAAAATAAGTGAATAGGTATTCTTAAATATTAATATTAAGTTTTTAATGTTAACTCGTTAAGTACCTAATGTGTCTAACCACGTACGGTAATTTCCACTACAGCTGTTTACACGTTAAAGAATTTTTCAAATGGATGTAAAATAAATTACATTTTCATATTCGTATTACTAAAACAAGAAAAATTATGTATGTATATTTTCTAACAGCAAAGCTACTATCATTCTGTAACAAACGTATTCTTAACAAAACAAGTCTCAATTACAACTTCTAACCAGCAATAAGTATACTATATACCCTATAATAACAGCAATCAACTCTCTTTTAATCCCTTAGAAATAAAGTTGTCGAGTCAAGCAATAATATCTCGCAATTGAGCTTTACAATTTACAACCTTATCATTATAAATAATGCTTGACACTTTCAGTAAAAAGAGAATTTGTTCATAATTTAGGCACATTTTTAATTTAACGATAAACAGGTATTTTTCAATTGAATTTTGATAAGGAAGGATGAGAAAACGTAAATGTTACATACTAATGCCATAAGTACGTTACATCATATCAAAGTGTTAACATAGAATGGAATATTACAATCATATCACCCTTACTAATTTCATAACACGAAAAATGTATAAAGCTAAAAAGAATTGCCATTTGGTCTTCAGATAACAGGTGCAAAACTGCATTTCATTGATGGAATATTTAATTTAAAAAAAATCTTTGCAGACCTCATCGCAATATGAAAACAGTAAAAGTAGCGTTAATATCTATAAAAATCGTATACACAAAAATATATGAATAACCAGTTTCGTTTAAAAAATGCATATGCATTTAAAAGGTGGTCATTTTAAAGATTTTTATATCATACACCTGAGAAATAAAAGATATCACTTCCTGTTTTAATCCCTATCTATGCACTACATAGTTACAATATTTTTTATTGGGGAGAAAATTTATAACTCTACGATGCATAAATGCAACCAGGAGGAAAAAAGATGCAGGTAGTCCCGGTTAATAAACGTCAATTACTAGGGTAACCGGTAGTAAGAGTACGAGTAAGTACATTAGCCCGCATAATTTTAGCACTCGCGGCGCTTGAACGAAACTCTTGAGCGTTGCGTCACAGCATATCGTGGGTGAAGATGGCACCGTTTCGTTACATAACGCCCTTCCAATACTGTCTTTTGCTGCTTTATCCTCCACGCTATTTTAGTCATTCAAATATCACATCGTCCAGACATAGTTGTTTCGCCTTGCGTGTCTTTCTATACCTCGTTAAAACACGATCATTGAACTGGTATCAGGTGATTCACCGTAATGTTGAATTTATACGGCGTTATGTATAGATTGCAGATATTTTTGTAAATATATATTTTTGCAAGAAACGATTAAAAAAAATGGATCAACTTTTTATTTTACATAATGTGTACCCTTTACATAGGGTTTTTGCACACATTCAGACTTTGATTAATTTATGTTTCATATTTTACACATTTTGCATATTTTAAATGTGTTACACGTATTGGTTGCATGTAACACAAAATTTATGTAACACGAGAGTGTTTCATGTAACTGGGACAAGCTATAACTTTAGAATAGTAGAACATAAACTAAAATGTAATTAAGAAAAATTAAATGGCGTCGAATGGAGCATTATACACACATATATGATGCGTGTGTCGGCACCGAAACTAGAAGCGTTTCAAAGGTTTCAAAGTTATCTTCATTTCTTTTTAATGGAATTGTGTACTTACGTTAGTTATACATCAGTTGAAGCGTTTTTTAATTCTCTACAAAAGAGTATTAAGGTACTTGGATCGAAAAATCATTACTTCAAAAAATATCTTAGGAAGAGATTAGTGGTGTCTACTACCTTTCTACGTTATCTTTTAAACCAATCAATTTTTTACCTTGATACTTTTTCGTAGAGAATAACAAGATGCATCAAATGACGTCAAAGAAAGTACAAAATTCGTCAAAATTTATTTTAAATTATAAGATCCCAAATCTCTCCCTTAAATATTTTTACATAAATATCCGTAGCTTATTTATGAGAACCAATGTAGGTTTGAATAACTTTACATTTGTTAACTGATACCATAAAATTTTATGGTATTATTTTATAATGTCAATACTGTTAATATGTACAGTATACACTATATTAATTTATTATTAGTTTCCATTCCTTCATAATAGTATACCACTGCCCTAAATGTAACGAATAAACCTACAAGAGTGAATAAGTAAATAAACCTAGGTAGGTAAGGGTCTCATTGTTATCAACTTCAGTCATTAAATAATTTGGTTATGTTATCCTCTTCCGTGAACTAATTCTGAACACAGTCTGATGAATACATATTTTCTACAAATGGATTTACTATATTTTCTAACAAATGTTTAACAATCTATCAAACAGTTTTTATAAAAGGTACACTTTTAATTAATAAAAACAACTTTGAAGTAACACAACTTCTTTTAACTGACTCAATAATTACAGATTATTTGCTTTGAACTGACAAGAAATTAATTATTTTTATTGTCATGTTGATTGTTAAAATAATACATCATTTATTAAGCGACGAGGTTATTAAAATTGTTTATTAATCAAGTTATAAAATACGAAAGTAAATTCATAATATGCGGGATAAATTTGCGAATCGACTTACAACGCATGCGCGTGCTGCTGTCATCTGCATTAAACATGGCGACGGTAGTGAGGTTGTCACGTCGATTATCTTTATTCTCCCGGCATTTTCGTGGTGTCACACGTTCTTGCAATTCGTGGCGAAGTGATAGTGAAGTGAAACAATGGAAAAATAGCACCGGGTTATTAGCAGCAGTATCTATCGCGCTCCTTATTGGCTACAAATGTTCAAAATCCAATGTCGTACACGCCAAATCTCGTAAGGTTTGTAAATACAGATTTATTATCTCCCCTTGTATAGAAAATATAAGTTTATAAACTTTTATAAACACTAGATTTGAATGTGAAGAATGAGTTTTCAACTTACGCAATGATATCAGTATAATTTGCAAAATTTGATGTATTTAACGTAGAGGATTTGTTTATGTTCGCTGATATATAGTGTCGCATAGTTTAATGACTTTGTTGAGTAGTTGATTCACCAGTGTTGAATAGCTTAAATTCATCACATATAGATTGTACCACGTGATTTCATTTTTTTCTGTTAATGAAAAAAAAATGTTACACAATGTGACATTAACATTTGAGGTTATAGGTTATAGGTTAAAATTGAGTGTATTTGTAAGAAAATGCTTTTCTTATTTTCCACAATGTTTAATTTACTAAATTATCTTTTAGTATATTCAAATGTAAAATATTCTCCCAAAGATATTTTTAAACTATAAAGTTGTAAAAATTATTTAATTGATAAGAATTGAGTTGTTATGTTTAATATATAAACATTTTACTACTTCTAATATATTCGATGAGTATGCATAGAACAAACAGAAAAGTCTCTTTACAAATAAAGAAATAGAAAATGTACATCTGCGTCATAAAACATTATTCATACTAATAAATGAAGTTGTGATATAAAAGTAATATAATGTTAATATCTTAAATCGACCTTAAATGCACAAAGATATAGATTTAGAAATTTCAAAGGGTTTTTTCTGCTGCCCGCAAAGGTAATATATCATAAACCAATATGATCTACCATCCCAAATTTCTCATTTGCGACTTCATATTCTTACCTTGATACACTGCGTTTCAAAACCATCTTGATGGAATTCATACTAACTGAAATTGTTAGTAGAAACCATTAAATCACAAATAAAATTAAATAAAACACAGAATCGTAGAAGATTTAATATTTGTTGTATCTTATATTTTAGAAAAAAAAAGATGCTTCAGAAAAGTAGAGTAACACAAGTTTCATCATGCAATATTTCTGCATAAATTCAAAATCTCTCCAACAATTCCATTGCTACTCAAATGATATTCATTTACAAGCATCAGGGTTGCATTTATTCAAATTCTACTGCACTTTAGCTCAACCAAAACAAATTATCAAAGCATCAACCATAAACAGATCATCTCGTATCATATGTTCTCTTGTATACAAGTCATCCATAACTATACCTGGAATCTAACAGAACAAGTGCAGATTCTGGCACAGCCACAAATCACAGCAAACCAGTAATACACTGGCGGCTATTATCTCGTCCGAGATTCGACTAAGTACATCGTCACGGTCGTTTCACCATCTCGATACAGCGATCGACGAACATGTTGTCTGACGATAACACGGAACACGGCTCCAAAGAATGTTAGAAAACAACGCGCGAATCGTATCACTGAACCGCGCAATGATAGTACTCACAGTCTATTCTAGAACTGTTAACAACTTCAACTATAGCAGGCCTCATTTACATATCAAGTTCTTTAAGAATTGATCGAATGATTGAAATGCAATCAATACTTGCCGAGTTCTTATATAAACCCAAGAAATTAATCTGTGATTTTACAGAAAGGAGCAATTGAAAGGAATCTTGATTTCCTTCTAGTTAGCTTATTTTGTTGATAGTATGCGGATACTATTTAATCCTTTTGTACACGATGTGGATGTTAACTAAACTACACTATCTGTCATTTCATAATTATCAAGCGTAGTTACTTAATTGCGTTAGGTTGATAAACGATAGTGTGAAATTAAGAGTCAAAGCAGCATAAATCTTCATTTTCAAACGATAAGATTTTTCAAGCCTTGTCGAACGTATCGCGAGATGGCTGTACGTGATTCCCAAGGCTGGCATAGTGTTTTGCCTTCCCTCTTTCAGCTATCTCGCTACGATTACGCTTCTTGCTGCTGGCAGAAAATTGATTATTAAAAGATACGATGAACGATGGTAAGGAAGATACTGCTGCTCGGATGAGATACAATTTGTTAAGAGGGCAATTACCGAGTCAGAAGCAATTACTGGGGTTTTGAGACGAGGAAAGGAAATTTTTAATACGACCTGATGCTTCTTGCTTGGAAAAAAGTAGAAGGTAGAAGGTATTTTTATTTCGGAAGATGGGGAATATGGAGGGATTATTCAAAGAACTCGTGAATATCCCAAAAATTATTTTCAAGAAAATCTTTGCAATTTTTTTCTTTTCTTTGTTTATTCGTCTCTTGCATGACCAAATAAATTCGCTTTAACAGTAGAAATATGTATACATAGATGAAAGATTAAAAGATTAAATGCAAGATAAGTAGATAGAACATTTTTATTTCATTGCTTATGCCATCCATTCAATTATCTAAATTTAATATTAACAATTTTTTCTGGCAATTTTATAATCAAAAAATAACATTCACTGTGTTTTAAAATACTTTTTGCTATCTTTCTATAAAAACCATTCAGCAGTTTTAGAGTATCTATTTCTCTTTCTGTCAGAGTTAGTTTTCTGATATTGAAATCTCCTTGGATCACTAGGTAACGTTACATAAACGTTATTTTATTTGCCACTATATCGAAAGATGTTACAGTAATAAACGGAAGATGTAGATACAAGTACGGTAGAACTGATAAACCACCTTAAACTGAAAGTACATTCCATAAAACGTCCTTTTATTGCTCAATATTTTCGAGCAAAATTTTATTATTCAGCGAGTAATGTACAATCGTAAAACTGGTACACTTTAAAATCAAAGTATAAAAGCTGTTGGCACTGAGGTAAACTTGCGTAGATACAGATGGTAGAAGGAACGTCTGAATCGGATCGAAGGAACGAATGTTCTTGAACACGTTATCTTCTTGTTCTTCGTTGAACAAGCGAAGCATTCGATAACGAAGAATCATCATAAATAGTAGGAAATATCGTATAAATTGAAATTCCGCAAGATCTGTAATGTACAGCAAGCCCTGGACATCGTCATATAATTGGATTTCGTTTATCTGATGAACCATTACCAGTTGTAGTATAATGGATAATCAAGCATCTACTGGTGAAGGTGAACTTGATCTTCTCCTAGATTGTTTGCAACACGCTGTTTCAAAAATAGTTCGTTTTTCATGGAATCTATAACTCAATGTTAATTTTTTTATGTTATTTTTACTTTTTGCTAACAAGAGATTATTATTATTATTATTAGAGTTAAGTTTAACATGTTGACTACCACACTGAGGTATGATTGTTGACAAATTTTATTCATTATTTTTATAATATTTCTAGGGTGTGCGGATACCTGAAAATTCGGCTCGAACTCGAGTCGGGAATTTTTTTCGAGTTCGAGTGCGACCCCGAAAGTTTGTCCTGCATATAACTTTGTTCGGATACCAGCAATTTCAGGACTTAAACATTACTGTTATACTAATAATATAAGACAGAAAATTAAGAGCTTAGGTTTGAAAATTAACTCTTCATATCTTTACTAATTAGAGCTTTAATTATTATGTTTGACGCAGTTTTCTTCGCCGTTCTTTCCAATCAATTTCCTGAAAACACAGTAAAAATTCACATTTGAATATTTTTTAGATGATATAATATTCAATCTCTTCTAAAAAAATTACGTAAATTGTATAACGCTTTTTAGGAATAATTAATTGAAAGTAGTTTGTTTCAACAAACTAAGGGTACTTCGGTGGAGTACGGTTCAGGAAGAAATCTTTAATCAGCACAAACGTCTCGTAAAATGGTTCGCAGTTCACAGCTAGTAAACTAATAAAATTAGATTTATAGGAGTGTAAAGTTAAGCTTAAGCTGATGGTTTGTTTGATTATAGTTTCAGGAAGATTTAAGTAGAATTGATTGATTGCAATGGTATGTTTCAGAGGTTTCCATGAATATAAATTTTAGTTTACTGTAGAAAACGTGAATGGTAATTATCTCCACTAATTGGAAAAATTAAATTTTTATTTGAGTTGTGTAAAACTCGAAGATTTCCGAGTCCTTAAATAACTAGGATGAAATTTTTTCCATTATCGTTGCATCATAAAATAAGAATTTCTTTTATGTTTTTACGGTTCCTGTTTTATACGGAAACTTAATTTTCAATGAATCTAGGTTTAATGAACTGTAAAAATCACATTATAAAATAGCGTTTCAAGATAGATTTTATGGAAATTTTTCAAATGGAGCACTGAATAAATCTGTTTTGATTTTCTTTTCATTTCACACAGTTAAACGTGCTTTTACATTTGAAGTGCATGTTTATCAAATATATAAAGTGAACATAACTATAGAAAGGGTATATTACTTAACAATTTATCAGTCAATGTTTCTAATTGATAAAACAATTTCTAAAAATCGTAGAAAATCATACATAAAATTAAACTTGTTGGTAAAACCATTAAAATAGGACTTTAACACCGATTTAACTGATTTTTGGATGTGTTATATGTATAGAGAAGGGCCCTGAGTAAAATGCACTTTGTCCGAGGTTTGTTATAAGAAAAGAAAAAAAATTAAATATATTACATTATATTTAATCTAATATAAGTTACTTCTTTTATACCATATTGACCGCATAACTATGAAAATGCAAGACATCGTACATTCGCCTTCGTATATCATTAATTTACTATAACTTAACCTAATTCATTTTTTAAAGGCGAAATATTTTATCGTAATGCCAGTAATTTTATTATTTTTCAAAGAAAAAATATTAAAATCTATGATGGGAACATATTACTAAACAGTCATTATCCATTTTTAAACGCTTATATTCGGCTCAATGTAATGTAAGAAATACAAGTTTCTTTTTTTCATAACTTTTGAATCGTGATTGTCCCAGGATTTTGACAAAATGCATTTTACTTAAGGCCCTTCTCTATTCAACGTATCCAAAAATCGGTGATATCGGTGTTGAATTTTTACTTTATTTTGTTATACATTTAGATGGTTAACAGGTAAAAACTCCCGAGGGTAAACACGAAAAATTTAGCAATTAAATATTCATGTGCAAATACGTAGCTGTAGGAAGGTAGTATTCCGATGCGAGGCTGTTATCTGATTTCAATTTCCTGCCGCAATCTCAGCGCCACTATAATCGCCATTGCATTATGCACCGTGGTGAACCACGTGCATTGGTGCATCAACAGTAGGCAGGTGTTTTGCCGTCCACGTGGTTTGCATCGATCGCTTCAGCTTTAATTTTCAATACCCACGTAAACATTCGATCATAGATAATTATTAATTACATTGTTTTTCGTTACTTTTGGGAAAGAAAGAAACGAACTTTTTCTGAAAATTGACTCAAACGCAAATTGATACGTTAACTAATATGTAAGTCATAGAAAAAAATAGAATACCATTAATACAATTTACTATCATTGGCGTAATAATCAGTAAGATAGAAATTTGAGAGCTTTTTAAAAACTGATTATTCCTTAATTATTTCGAAAATGAAATCAGAGCTTAATAAAGTTGTGTACCAACATAGGAATCAACGTTTACGACTAATATAATCTACTCAATCAATACAAGTAATAAAAACAAAAATTCGCTTCAGAACTATTAAAAAAAGAAAAAAGAACTAAATCACATACTGGCAACAAGGAGCAGTTGAAAGCTCGCCTGAGGGAAGATAATGGCATACCGTGTCCTTAAAAATCATCGGAGTTTTGCCAACGATCCTCGCCAGATACGATCGTCTCTGGCGGGCAACGATTTAGCTGGAACCAGGAGAAAATTGTTGCAGCAGGAGAGAGCTGGTCGCGTGTTTCTTTATTGAAAACTATAACAACCGACACGGGTAGGTAGGTCAGCGGGGTAAGAAAGAGGTAAACGTTTACGAGTGCAGATGAAACGGGCCTTAATCACACGCAGTGGGCCATTGGAAGAAAAAGAAATCAGGTTTCGCACTTAGCATAAATGTTCATAGTGTCTGTCATTACCACGAACCGAAAACATGCCAAGACTAACACCCCTTTGGATTCGGTAGACACGCAAAGACATGCCAACAGACGTTTGTACGAAGGTGGAAAAACCTTGGTTGGAATATTAATAAAAGAATTTTTGACTGAAATTAACACTGTCTTATCACGGTTGGATCATTGATGTAATCATTGCTGAAGAGGCAGATGAAGATATGAGGCATTCAGCACATCACAGCCCTAACTTTAGAACAATAACTTTTGAGTAATTAACACTTACATTACGTGATAATTAATTCTTCGTTATTTTGACTTATCACAGATAACTTTCTGCAATATTGTTTTCTACATCGAGTTTCCGATGCCCATAAAAAACACGAAGTACACTCTCGATTAAGTTAAACTTCCCTAGGAAAAATGGCGATATACAAGAAGCAAGAATTCTCAAAATCTTAATTTTGACGATATTAATATTAAAAGCAATTTAGAAAAAAATATTATAATTTTTAATTGTTAAATATTATAAAATTGAATAGGTTGGTATATAATTGAAAAATTGGAATAACAAAATGAATGTTAATTCAAATTTTTCCCCCTTTATTGTCATTTTCCCTAGG